TTGCTAAAGCTGGAAGTGGTGGGCTGTACGTGCAGGTCCGGCTATTCAGGGAGCTGAAACAGGAGAATCTTTTGAACTCAGACATTTAAAGCCAGCCTGAGCAACATAGAAATTAGCCTGTCTCTTAACTTGTTTTTCTTAGCTCACTGCTTACATGGAGCCAGGTGGAGGGCTGTATTTGGCTTGATCACTTGATTGGATTTTTGCCAAACATCCGTGGAAGTAAATAATGCTTCTGGGCCAGACAGGCAGTGGTGCTACACACCTTTGATTCCAGCACTTGGGAGACAAAGGCAGGCAGATCTCTGTGAGTTCGAGGCCAGCCTGGTCTAAAGACAGGACAGCCAAGGCTACACAGAAAAATCCTGTCTCCTTGAACTGCCCCTCGCGCTGCCGCCCCCCCACCCCCAGTCATGAGCAGCTACTGGCCACCAGTTCAGCACTGTGGTTGGTCAGATCTATGGTGGAAAGAGGGGTCACTCTTGGCCAGTACGGTGGTGTCCACTCATACCGTGTGAACAGGCTGCTCTTTACCACCACCTCCTTGGTGGTTTTAGCGCCTTCCCCCATACATGTGCTGAAGCCGTCCTCCCTCCCCTATGTGGCAATGTTTCAAAAGAGGACCTTCCCAGAAGCAATCAATGCTTAAATGAAGTCATCATGATGGGGCCTTAACCTAAAGGGTTAAGGGTTGGGGAATGGAGAGATCTAGAGAGCATGCCATCGACTTTGCTGTGTGAGGTCAAGCCGGGAGAAGGCAGCTGTGTGCAATTCAGACATCACGCCTTCACCAGAAACCACTAGTGCTGACCCTCGATCTGGGACTTGGAGACTCCAGAACTCTGAGACGGCATATTTATGTTGCTTAAGGTATGTACTCTGTGTTGTTTGTTACAGTCCAAAATGACTAAGACGGCATCATTGGCAAGTCTTTTTGTGTGTTTATTTGTTCTTTTCCTTTTTTATTTATTTATTTTTTCGAAACAGGGTTGCTCTGTGAGGCCCTGGCTGTCCTGGAACTAGCTCTGTCGACCAGGCTGGCCTTGAACTCACAGAGATCTGACTACCTCTGCCTCCCTAATGCTGAGATTAAAGGCATGTACCACCACCACTCAGCTCTTTTATTCTTTTCTCTCCCATTTCTTCTTAACAAAGAACATTCTGGAGACTGAGCAGTCTCCAGATATGGAGTCTCCAGGTATGGCTCATGCTACATCCTCTTCTTTTGGCGACAGCCACTGCCTTGCCCTGGGCTCATACCTAGATGGTATTTTTCTCCAAAGAACATTTCCTCATCCATAAAAAAATGGATCATGGTTCCTCAATCAAATAACACATAAAAACTCAGAGTATGGGCCATTGAGATGACTGTGGTATGGCGCTTGCTGCCAGGTTTGACAATCTGAGTCCCATCTCAGGTACCCCCATGCTAGAAGTACAGAACCAACTCTTAAAAGTTGCCCTCTGCTAGGAGGTGGTGGTACACATCTTTAATCCCAGCACTTGGGAGGCAGAGGCAGGTGGATCTCTGTGAGTTCGAGGCCAGCCTGGTCTACAGAGTGAGATCCAGGACAGGCTCCAAAACTACACAGAGAAACCCTGTCTTGAAAAACAACAACAACAAAGAGTTGCCTTTGATCTCCATACTCACACCCCCTCCCCTGCCACAAATAAGTAAGCAGGGACCCAAGAGGTGGCTCAGCAGGTAAAGGTATTTGATGCCAAGCCTGACAATCCAAGTCCAAACCCTGGAACCCATATGGTGAAAGTAGAGACATGACTCTCTCTCTTTTTTTTTTTTTAAAGATTTATTTATTATGTATAGAGTGTTCTGCCTGCATGTGTCCCTGCAGGCCAGAAGAGAGCACCAGATCTCATTATAGATGGTTGTGAGCCACCATGTGGTTGCTGGGAATTGAACTCAGGACCTTTGGAAGAGCAGCCAGTGCTCTTAACCACTGAGCCATCTCTCCAGCCCCCAGACATGACTCTCTTATGTTGCCCTCTGACCTCCACACACACATATACACATTTGTACATTGGTGCATACACACACACACACACACACACACACACACACACACACACACACACGTATATGACTTCTTTAGGTTTTGGAAGCAGATTCTAGAACATGTTTCTAGTCTGAGAAGGTAAGTCTGTGACAGGGAGAGATGGTTGGTGCAGGAGAAGGCATTGCAGAAGGTCTGAGTCCCCAGAAGGCTAAGCGTGGTGAGAGCCCTTTTACAGTGCGTCTCTAGCCAGGCCCAGATAGCTTCCTCCTGAGGTCATGCAGTCATGGCCCTGGTCTTGTGGCTTCCCCTCCTCCTCAGGGAAGGTGGGAGTTTGGATCATTGTAGGCTGGGCTTCAAGGCAAGCACTGGGTCTTTGGGACTTTGCCAAGAGTACTACAGGACCAAGGACAAGAGATCCCAAGCTGGCTGAACACAGAAGTGGCTACAGGAGATGGAGGACAGGGGGTGGGCGGGTTGGCTTTGACTTTTGCTTTTGGTATCAGCTTTTGGAATTGTTAAAGGAACATGAACATAGGGCAATGAGGAAATCAGACTTGAGGGGAGAAGTAGCAACCTCAAGAGACTCATCCTGAGCTGGGTGGTGGCAGCACATGCCTTTAATCCCAGCACTTGGGAGGCAGAGTCAGGAGGATCTGTGTGAGTTGGAGGCTAGCCTGGTCTACAGAGCAAGATCCAGGACAGGCACCAAAACTACAAAGAGAAACCCTGTCTCAAAAAAAAAAAAAAAAAAAAAAAAAAAAAAAGGAAAGAAAAAGAAAAAAGAAAAAACAAAAAAAAAAAAACAAAAAGAGACTGGTCCTGTGGCTTCTTGGATCCGAGCTTTGTATCTGTGATAACAAGACTGTGGTAGAATCCCTACCAGAGCCCCAGCATCCAGCCCAGTGCCAAGGGGCGGCTCCGAAATTTGAAGTTTGATGGAAAGAATAAGTGAATGAATGGTAACAAACACAGCATTTATCATGTGGCGAGCACTTAGTGTGACAGCTCCCGGATTTCTTCCCAGGCTTCTGTGAAGTGGGGTCCACCATGGCTCTTGTTTTACAAATGAAGAAATGAGGTACAGGAGCAAGGACAACTTGTCCAAGGAAGACAGAGTCTGTCTACCAGGCAGCATGGGCCAGAAGTCTGTGGTCAGGAAGGCTTCTCTGAGGAGGGAGCACACACGGTAACCAACCGGAAGGAGCCAGATCCAGACCTGAAGAAGGAAGAGTGCTCCAGGCAAGAGTTATGAGTGCTCTGCTGAGAAGGGGGTGAACATCAGGGAAGGCCCCTAAGGACACCTGGGAGCTGGATTTGGAAGAATTACAGAATAATCTTGATAGTTGGAAGATGTCCCCTGAGATCAGTGTGTGTCTCTCTCTTTCTCCCTTATTCCCTCCCTCTCCCTCTGTCTCTCTTCTCCCTCCTGTCTCTTCCTCCCCTTTCTCTCTCCCCTCTCTCTTCTCTTTATCTCCCTTCCCAGTCTTCCCTCTTCTCTCCTCTCCTCTTCTCTTCCCTCCCCCCCATCCTCTGCCTTCCCCGGTCCTGTCTCCCCTGCTCCCCCACTCTCTCTTCTCACCCCCCTCTGAGGTAGAGAGTAACTGCTTTGCTCTGGCTGGCCTCCAACCCACAGGGTTCAAACACTCCTCTTGAGAAGCTGGAGTGCGGCTGGTATGACCATCCCTTTTGTATCTGGGCTCCCTGTGGCTGGAATCCCACGGGCCATGAAAAACATTTACTTGTTAATTGAGCGCATGGACCAATGGCCAAGGCCAACTCAGGTGGTATCTATCATGGTGGCAACGCTACCCAGGGAGGATGAAGCCACCATCCCAAAGTCCCTGAACCTCCACTAGCTCTCTTTTCCCTTCTCCCTCCTCCCCCCACCTCATATTTTCATAAGAGAGAAGCTTTCTTCCCCCCACCCCTAGATAATCAATACAGGGTTACTCTGTGTAGATCTGGTTATCCTACAGCTCGTTTTGTAGACCAGGCTGGCCTTGATCTCAGAGATCCACTGCATGCACCACCACGCCCCAGCGAGAGAAGCATTCTTATCTGCATCTATCACTTGCTGTCACTGGTTACACTGTGATGCTCCTGAACTTCTACTTGCTCACACACAGCCCCCCACACCCCTGCCTACACATAGAAACACACCTGATGCATAATATGTCCTAGTGGTTGATTCTAAAACTGGTCATCATGTCATTGTTGACAATCAATGTAGCCCCTACACCCATCTGAACATAGATTTCCAACCCCTTCCATCTCTCTCTCCCCAGACAGGGGGGTTTCCCTGGACCTTGGTTTATGACTGAAGAGGTAATACTGGGGAGGCGGGGTGAGGGTCATCAAGTTGGGGAGGGTTTAGGAAGGGACCCCTAAGAGACACTATGATTAAGGACTCTCCTAGTTTTTTCTAAAACTTCTGTATGGCTGTGGCCTGATGGGAGCTGATTCTCTGAAAAACAGTTACCCAAAGGCAAGGTCCCGATCGCCACCACCCTGTACCCAGTCCCTAAAGATGGGGTAGCAGAGTACGGTGACAGGTGACAGATCCACGGTAGATCTAGTGGCAGCAGTGTAAGGGTAAGAGACTCTGTGAACTTGGGCCAGACTGTCATGGCCTGGCTCTGGGTTTTCCCACCTGGAAGATGAGTGGGGACCAGGAGCCTCAGCGAGGGCCCAGATCTCTCTGTGTCCCACTCTAGTGACTGAAGGAGCAGGTGCCTCTGAGGGTGAGGATCATTGTCCCTCAGAGGAGACCTTTGGGAAGGAACTGGGTGCAGGGACAGGGCCGTGAGAGCCCATCCGAGGTAACCTTGAAAGGCGGGAAGTGGGAGCCAGTGGACCTTGGATCTGGGGGCCCCTCCCGGCTTTGGGCAGCTGGCTTGGGGCTGAGGCGTGACTGTGAATTCTCCTGCCGCCGCCTCCTCCGCAGCCACCAAAATAAGAGAAGTCCGAACGGCTTCCTCCTCCCTGCCCAGAGTAGGTGGTAGGGACAGAAGCGGGCAGTACCCCACTTCTCCCCTACATCATCTCTCCTGGCTGCTGTAAGCTAGGGTTGGCTCGCCCCAGATCGGGTCGTCAGCAGCTGGCTCCCCTGGGACCAGGTAGGCGGCCAAACCAGGTGGGGGCTGGAAGGGCAGGTGTTTCCCCGCCCTCCGCCCGCCCTCACCCTGGAGGGAAGATTTGGAGGTAAACCTGAACTTTGAGAGCAGAGCAAGTTGAGAGCAGGGCCTCCACCCAGAAAAAGAATTAAGGAGAAAAACTAAGGAAACTTGGCAAAGACTGATAAAACCTGGGCAGAAGGCTGAGGGAGGATGGGGAAGGCAGGCCAAAAGTTCCCCCAAAAAGCCTCAAGCGGGAAATGGAGGGAACTTATGGCGTGAAATTGATAGAATTTGGGAAGGGGGCTGAAAGAGGCGCGGGAAGGCGCTGTGGGCTCCCCCAAAGGGGTCTGGGGAGAGTACTGAGAGGCTTGGAGGGTGAGAAAATGGGGAGAAGTGAGGGGCTCAGGAGGGAGTAGTTGTAGGTGGGGATACTGGAAGGATCAGGAGGGGATCCTGAGGGGAATCTGGTGTTCAGTTCCCGAGTTCCCGAGAAGGGGGTCAAAGGGTGATTTCTGCAGAACGCGGAGTCCAGAGTACAGTTCTGGGTCTCGGAGGACCGCTGTCTGGATTCCGCAGAGGTCGAGGGAAGAAGAGCATCTGCAGCCCCTAGGTCTTCTTGCTGCATCACTAGGGGAGGGGGGCAAGTCTCTGATGCCCTGGGGATTCCTTCCAGGCGCTGGAGGCGTGGGTCCGGGTTTCCTGGGGAAGTCCTCATCCTGGGCACCGACAGACCTCCCTGGGTGGCTCTCCCTATCCGCGGTGGCGGTCTGGGTCTGCGTCCATGTCGGGATCCGGGAATTGCTGGCAGCCCCGACGGAAATCCTGCTTTTGACCGCGAATGCCCGCAGGGCCTGTTTCCATGGTAACACAGGGCAGTGAGGCCAGTTGGCCCTGGGCCGCTGCGGGCTCGTGGCTGGCGGCCACCTTCGGTCCCTGCCTTCGTCCCCATTTTTAGTCCTTGGTCCGGGTGTGTTGCACAACAGAGTGAGAGGGTGCCGCTTGGTGTTCAGGGATTTGCTGTCTCAGACACCTGGGCCCTTGACAAGAATGGACCCTTAATTGCTATGTAGACCGCAGGAGAGTTAGGATTCGTCTCTGGCTTCTTGTTTCCCTCATTGGAACTTTGGGGAGAAGCTCGCCCTCCCCCATGCCGAAGCTATGCCTAGTGGCACATGCCTATAATAATCTCAGCACTCAGAAAACCAAGGTAGGAAGATTGTCGCTAGCTTGAGGACAGCCAGAGCTGCTTAAGCAGAAGAAAGACGAGGTGGGGGGCGGAGAGAGAGGAGACTGAAGAGGAGGGAAGTAGAGGGGAGGGGAGGGGGGAGAGGGAGGGGAGAAGGAGGAGAGGAGACAGGTGAATTTTTATGAGGTTCAGGCCAGCCTGCTCTGCATAGTGAGTTCTTTGCCTTCTCAAAACATGGAGGACTGCGGGATGGTGGTGGCACCGCCTTTAATACCAGCACTGGGGAGACAGAGGCAGATGGATCTCTGTGAGTTCGAGGCCAGCCTGGTCTACAAAGCAAGTTCCAGGACAGCCAAGGTTACACAGAGAAATCATGTGTTGAAAAACCAAAACCAAAAAAAAAAGGACCAGAAAGCTTCCCTTACAGGGTCTTTGGTACCAGCACACAGTTGGCACCTACTAAATGTCTCTGAATCTGTGGAGGGAGGAGGCCCGCAGGGCTCAGATCTGTACCCCACTCTCCACACCAGATGGCCACTCTACAAGCATGTTGTAGTCTAGAACTTGATGCTATGAGTATCCTTCAGTGGGAAATATGAGTATTCTGTAATGGGAAAGTGGACGGATCAGGTTAGCAGGAAGGGGCAGAAGTCCAGGGCATCTAGAAATGGCAGAAGGAGGTGGCCAAGCTGAGGCCTGAGTCTACCGTCCTTCTTAGTTAAGCTTATGTGGACCAGAGAGAGAGAGAGAGAGAGAGAGAGAGAGAGAGAGAGAGAGAGAGAGAGAGAGAGAGAGAATGCGGTGGGGCTCATGGCTGCAGTGTGAACAAGGCTGAGAGAGTGCCCCCCCCCCCCCAGTGGGCTTGAAGTGAATGTGTTCAAGCCTGGGTGCTTACTCGTGGTTATTCTAGGTCTTTCCTGCAGCCCCCTGAGGCTGAAGTGACAAGGACAGTGACCAGTCCTGGCAGGCTGGGTACCCACTACAGAGCTGAAGAAGGAAGGAGGAGCCCAAGTCCCTTCCACACAGCACACTAGGCTGGCCCACGGTGGAAGAGGGCAGGCTGCCCCCATTCCGCTCACAGGACCAAGGGGGGCTTCCCATCTGAGCACAGTGGAATTTATACTCAGTCTCTAGCTCCCACTCTTGGCTGGAACCCCAAGTCCCAGGCTAGGTAACCCAAAGATTCTTGTTTTAGAGGCTGATGGGTAATTTCCTGAGATATGTGGGACCACTTTTTCTTTTTTTCTCTTTTTTCTTTCTTTTTTTTGGGGTGGTGGTGGTTCGAGACAGGGTTTCTCTGTGTAGCTTTGCGCCTTTCCTGGATCTTGCTCTGTCTGTAGACCAGGCTGGCCTCGAACTCACAGAGATCCACCTGCCTCTGCCTCCTGAGTGCTGGGATTAAAGGCCTGGACCACCACTGTCTGGCGTTCCTTTTTTTAAAAAATGGAATCTCACTATATGGCCTTGAGCTCACAAAGGCCCACCTGCCTCTGCCTCCTAAGAGCTGAGATTAAATGCTTGGGCCACCACATCAGGCCTGTCTCTCTCTCTCTCTCTCTCTCTCTCTCTCTCTCTCTCTCTCTCTCTCTCTCTCTCTCTCTCTCTCTCTCTGTCTAAGACAGCGTCTCACTGTGTAACTCTGGCTGGCCTGGAACTCATTATGTAAACCAGGATGGTCTTGAACTCACAAAGATCCACCTGCCTCTGCCTCCTGAATGCTGGGATTAAAGATTCATACTGCTGTGCCCAGCCAGATAGAACCACTTTCACAAGTGGGGAAAACTCAGTTGATGTCCTAAGAACCACGGGAGGGGAAGAGCTAGGACAGTACAGAGATGTGGCATGTCTAGAATCTGACATGCCGGGACTGGATCAGATGTAGGTCTCAGGAAAGGATGGTGTAAAATGATAGGAAGTTAGTGAGACGTTGAGGACCTAGTAGGGTATCAGTGCTTAGTGGGTGGACTGTCGGGGAGCACGAGAGTCTTTAGTCAGGGCTCTGAGGCCGGTGGGGGATGGCAGAGCCTGCACACCATACACTTACTTGTATTTGCCCCTTCAGCCCAGGTCTGTCCCTAGCCCAAGCTCTGAGAAGAAACCGGAACTCTTGCAGGATGGTGGTTTCCTGCCACTGCCCAAAGTCTTAGTTCCTTTTTGGTGAAGTCCTCAGGGTTTACTCTGCTTGCTCATCCCTCCCACCGTCTCTGGGAACTTCTCTTTCTTCTCGGTCCAGGCCAGCCCTGCATCTCTGTCCACCTCCCCCCACCTCAGAGAGACCTTTGCAAAGGGACTGAAGGGAATGAAAGTCCCCACCACGTGGCTGATCAGGCTCAGGGACCTGGCAGCATCTCACCGTCAGGAACTACAGGGAGAGAGCGGTCTACTCTCAAAGAGGTGAGCTGGCTTGTCCAGTGCCTCCAGCCAGTCGTCACACAGGGACACAACTGGAACTGAAACCTGTCTCTGGTTCTCCTTCATACTTGGAGGAGGTTGTAGAGTCCCAAGTCTACATCATCACCTTGACACGGTTTCAGGAAATATGACCCTTGGGAAAGGATGAGAAGCTTGGGCCTCTTGTGTCCAGGAACACGAGTGTGTGGGAGGTAGGCTTCCTGTTGGGTGTTCAGCTGCCATAAGACAGGTTTAGTTGGCCATTGGCCATGTGGGAAGAATGACATTTACCAGCCAGGGACAGCATGGTCCTGCCTGTGCTTTGAAGAACCCAGCCACAATGCCAGGAACAGAACTATGGACTGGATTTCACAGTCATTTGAATCTCCAGTTGGCCTGTGCGACCTCAGGGAAGTCACTTTTCTGGTCTGTGCAAGAGGCAGGTAGACCAAGTGCCCCTGGGGGCTTCTCTGCTGCCACGTTCTCAGCCTCAATTGGCCGCTGTACACTGAGCTAGAGCCTTGTCGCGTGAAATCCTCACAGCTGCTCTGCACAGAGGGCACAGGTGAGAAATCGGATGCTCAGATGTGTTGTCTTTTTTCATCCAAGGCTACAGCCGGCTGAAGAACAGAGCTGGGGCCAGAGCCCTCAATCCCAGCCCTGTGGCAGAAAGATCACAGGTTCAAGGGGAAGGTTATACAGAGGGATCCTGTATGCCTTGGAGGGAGTGAGGGAGGGAGGGAGGGAGGGAAGGAAGAGGGAAAAGATAAGAGATGGAGAGAGAAAGAAGCACTTACCACAGAGGGGCAGATACTGAAGCGGGCAGCATTGTGGTTCAGGCTTAGACCTTAGTTGTGATACACATAACCTCCAACCTTGATAGGGCTCTTGAATTGATTCCTTTCAACCAGACTTACTTGGGGCCGGAGTTCAGCTTAGTGATAGAGTGTGCGACTGATGTGTACAAGGTCCTGGGTTCAAATCCTAGCACCAGAACAAAGTTAACTCCCTTATTCATAAACGAACTGAGGCCCCTGACTTGCCCAGAATGCTGGCGGCCACTTCTCATACTGCTCTGTTTCTGATGTTAACAGGCAGCCAAAGGAAACTAGGAAAGAGAGACAAGAGGGCCAGGGAGATGTGTTGTCTCTCATCCAAGATGGCTCAGAAGTTAATGCTGACAAGCTTGACAATCTCAGTTTGATCCATGGAACACATATGGTGAAAGGAGGGAACAGATTCCCACAAGTTGTTCTCTGACCTACACACACACACACACACACACACACACACACACACACACACACACACCAATACACAAGTATAAAACCAAGAAGGAAGGGGAGAGAGAACAGATCACTTTGGAGCTGTGCTGTAACTAGGATTTAGACATGTATTATAAGGGCTGGCACACAGTGGGCATTCAAAGAGGTATGTGTCCATGCTCCTTCAGAGATTGCAGTAGAACGGTACCCAAGGTGGCCAAACTGGTCGGTATTGTCTCACTTCCCAAGTTACTCAACCTCGCTGTCCCTCAGTGTCCTAATCCAATAAGGGTTAAAAAGAAAACCTGCCTCAGGAGGTCACTAAAGAGAGCATGTGTAGAAATGTCTTGGCAAGATGCCAGCCAGTCACTGTAAATGTTTAATAAATTAGCACATTTTCACTAATAGTTACTGCCACCCAGACTTCCGGAGAGTCCAATGACTCCCTAAAGAGTTCGCGCTGGGCATGAAAGCGCAGAGGCAGAGGAGAGACCTCTGGCTGTTGTCATGTCAGGTTTTCAGTGGACAGAACCACTCCCTCTTCCTGTCTCTGGCTCTCTTCACCTCTGCCTTTGTCTCTGTTACTTCATTTCTTTCTCTATTTCTTCTTCTTTGATGTATGTGTGTGCATGTCATGTGTGAGTATGAGTGTGTCTATACATGCATGTGAAGGCCAGTGGGCAATGCTTAGGTCTTCTTACATTGCTCCTCATTTTTATTTAAATGTATTTGCTTGCTTGTTTGTTTTGGTTTGTCGAGACAGAGTTTCTCTATGTAGCCTTGGCTGTCCTCGAACTCCCTCTGTAGACCAGGCTGGATTCGAACTCACAGAGATCTACCTGCCTCTGCCTCCCAAGTGTTGGGATTAAAGGCATGGGTCACTACTTCCCAGCTTAAATTTTTTTTTTTGGTTTTTCGAGACAGGGTTTCTCTGTGTAGCTTTGCGCCTTTTCTGGGACTCACTTGGTAGCCCAGGCTGGCCTCGAACTCACAGAGATCCGCCTGCCTCTGCCTCTCGAGTGCTGGGATTAAAGGCGTGCGCCACCACCGCCCGGCTTTTTTTTTTTTTTTTTTTTAATTCAGAAAAATTTATAGTATATTGAGCTAGAGAGATTGCTCATCGGTTAAGAGCACTGACTGTTTTTCTAGAGGACTTGGGTTCAATTCCCACCATCCATATGGCAGCTCACAAGGGTCTGTAACTCCAGTTCCAGGTGATTTGACAGCCTCACACAGAGATACATGCAGGCAAAACACCAATGCATATTTAAAAACAAGTAAATCATTTTTAAAAGTGGTGAAAATACAGTATGTGTATGGGGGTTTTGTCTTGCATGGATGTTTCTGCAATCTGTGTGTGCCTGGTATCAATGGAAGCCAGAAGAAGATGTTGGATCCCCTGGAACTGGAGTTACAGACAGTCATGAGCCACCATATGGATGGTGGGAATTGAACCCAGGTCTCTAGAAAAATAGCCAGTGCTCTTAACCATCTCTCCAGCCCCTCTTTTTTTTTTTTTTTTTTTTTTTTTTTGAGACAGGCTCTCCCACTGAACCTAGCACTGGATTAACTGGCCATCGAGTCCCAGGGACCATGTCACTTGCCCACACTGAGATTTTAGCTACACACCACCAGCTTTTACATGGGTGCTAAGGATTGAACCCAAATCCTCAGCTTGTGTGGCAAGCACTTTAGGTAACTGAACCATCTCCCTTGTCTTCCCCAATCCTTCTATCCCCCTTCAGCGTTGGGGCTTGATGGGGCTTGAGTTTACAGCCTCAGGCATGCTAAGCTATAGCCTCAATGCTGTTCTCTCTCTCTCTCTCTCTCTCTCTCTCTCTCTCTCTCTCTCTCTCTCTCTCTTTGCTACTAGAGATCAAATTCGGGAACCCAGGGTCTTATGCATGCTAGACAAGCACTCTACATCCTCAGCCCTTGATGTGAGGGCACAAAGTCCTGCTAATTAGCCTACATCAGCCTCAAGCCCTGCTAACTTCCTGCCTCATCCTCTTGAATGCTAGGATTATGGTGGGTCCACTACTACGCTGGTCTTCTGGAATACTTTACCTGGCATTTCTGTCTCTTTGTCTCTGTCTCAGGTTCTCTCTGGCAGCGATGTGTTGGCTCCCTGTTGCTGACTCAGGGGAACTCATTCTCTGCATCCCTTCTTGGGCCTAGTCATCAGGAAGTTGCTCCAGGAGCTTTAAATCAGCCACAGTGGGAATATTTACACCATGGAAATGCTACAGATCAGGGCTTGGAATTTTTCTTAATGTTGTTGTTGTTATCCGTCTCTGCCCCCCACCCTGAAAATCAGTTTATGAGCACACCACACTGTCTGTCTCTTCACATCTCCCTAGCGGCCCAGGGTCTTTCTCTGTCTGTGTTTCTCTCAGCCTCTCCCTGCTCATCTTTCTACTGATACACACAATCTCATCTTTCTACTGGTACACACAATCACGATCATGATCACGTTCAGTGTGGTTCTTCCCTACACGGGGCCTGGAACACGGCCTCTGTCACCACGCCTGAGCCCTTCAGTATGCTCATACCAGAAAGCCAGGTCCACACAAGACCACAGTCCCCTCAAAACCTGGGGGTGACAGAGCCCCGAGGGCTGTCCAATTCTGCCTTCTGGGTACACTGCCAACCCTGCCAGGACTCACGCCCATAGAGATTCTGTTTGAACCCTCCTCCCTCACGGGCCGGCAGATGTAGGAGTTCCCTTGGGGGCCTATATGCCCCAGCAATAGGCTCTTGGGTATATTGCAAGTGGCAACATAGTCCCAACTGAGGGCCCCTGGGCTGTGTAAGTTTGTATCCCATAGGGGAGCGCTCTGCAGGGCTGTGGCTCCAGGGGAGTGCAGTGTTTATCCCAGCCAGTCCTACCCAGGCCATGCACTTACACAGGATTTCAGGAATGGCGACAAGCAATGCCGGCAGGTGGCTCAGGTTCTAGTCTCAAATGATGGGATTTCTCATGTGTGTGACCTCAGGCAAATATCTAAGCATCTCCATGCCTCAGTTGCTCCATCAATAATAATAATAATATTTAAAACTGGGTTTGTAGTGAGAGTAAAATGAGGTGGTACAGGCCAAGTCTTTAAAGCAGTGGTAGACACACAGTAAGGGTATAATTTTGTATTTTCTTGTGGAGAGGCTACATGGTGTGTGTGTGCACACATGTAGTGTGTGTGCACACATGAACACATGGACAATGGATGAGGCTGTAGGTTGCTATTTGTGAGTGTGATAAATCACAGATGCGATGCATGTGTCTGGAAATGAGTTCAAATGAACTTGGAGTCTGTATGACCTGTGTGTTGCTGAGAAGATACGTATGTCTGAGACTGTGTTATAAATCTCGTGTGGCTCGGTATAGGTTTGTGGCACGTCTTTCTGTTTCTGTGAGAGGAACTTCACTCTTAGCTGTCTTTCTGTTTCTGTGAGAGGAACTTCACTCTTAGCTGTAGGCCTTGCTTTCATATTACCCTCTCTCTCCTCTCCTCTTCTTGAAAACCCTTCAGCTAGGTTGTGGGGGGCGGGGAACCTCTCCACTCCACATCTATCCCCTTCCCTCCCTCCCATACCTGAACCAGCCTGGAATGCTGGGCCCTCTCAGAAATACTGGTCCCTCACTCCCTGGGTCGGGGCATCCTGAGGTGAAGATCTCAGTAAAGCTGAGAGAACAGAAGCTGTGTTTGGACAGGCCTCTCGACACAGCTTGCCTCACAGCTCACTGAGTACATGTTACCCCTTCACCTCAACACACATAGGAGAATGGTTTTGGTGAAGGATGAGAGGAGCCAGGAGGTAGTTTAGGACTCTCAGGTAACTGAACCAGACACCAGCAACCAGACCTATTAGATCCAGGAAGGAAGGCTTCCTGGAAGAGGTGAGTGTTCCACCTAACTGGAGGAGAAGAAGACACCATGGGGAGAACGGGATGGGAACTGTGATCTTCAGGACCCAGTAGAGAAGCCTGGCTGTCCTTAGGCTGGCCCCACCTTACAACAAAGCTGTGTCACATCTTAGGAAATCAGCATTCTCCCCAGGCAGTTCCTCTCCGAGTGTTGCAACGGTGGAGATTCTTGGCCGTGGGTGAGGTGTGGGATGGGGTGGGGTGAGGACCCCTTGCTCAATGACCTTCCTGTGGAGTTGCTCAGAGGACAGAGCCACTGAGGAAAGTTTGGCTGTTCCAGGAGCTCTTCAAGAGACTGTGGTGGTCTCAGCCTTTAACTGGGACCTCTCCCTGATTATGCTCTGCGGATAACTGTCACTTTTATCCTGTGACCAGAGGGGGACATAGGTCTGCTGGGGTTTGCCCAGGCTGAGGGCAGAGGCAGGGTTCTAGGGAAAGTTTATTTTTAGGAGACCATAACTGAGGTCCTGGGAGCCAAGCATGATTTGATAGTGCTCCAGTTTGAAAGATGGGTCTGGATACAGCTATGATGGTGTGAGTGTGTGAAGCATCCAGACAGACATGTGCATACATGCGTGTGCACATATACACACATGTATAGGTACGGATGTGTGTGTGTTATTGTGCACCAGAGCTCATTCGAGAGTGTGATGGTGTGCAGTGATACTGGCAAGGACACTCCCTCAAGCATGCTGTGGTGCTGTATGACTGTGCACAGATGTGTGTGTGTGTGTGTGTGTGTGTGTGTGTGTGTGTGTGTGTGTGTGCAAGATATGTGGGACTGAGTGCAAGAGCTGGCACAGGCAGTGTGTCCTCTGTGGGGATGGATATGCAAGTGTTCCAGGAGTTGTGGGAGAGAAAACAAAGGGAGAGGTCATGGTGGGACAGAGCTCAGGCTTCTGGCTTCCTGAAGTGGGTAGGATCTGGGCAGCTGGCTGGCAGAAACCCTGGCAAGGCCTTCTTCATCCTTCATGCTCTTCTGTCTCACCCTCAGGGTTCCTGCACCTTCCAGGGACCATGCATCAGTCCTATTGACCCAGGACTAGGGGCCTGTGGGGTGAGTAGGGTGCGAAGTATGCCAAGGCTTTCAGGGTCAGGGAACAGGGTGGGGTCGCTTTCCTGGGCCCCATAATGCCTGCCTCACAGCCCCCTCCTCCTGCAAGGGCCCTGTTGCTAGGAAACGGATAGAGGAGCCAGAATGAGGCAGCTTGAGAGGCTGGAGGCTGGACTCATGACAGGAAATGGCCTTGATCCCCCTCTGCAGGGAATCTCCAGGTGCAGGCTCAATGCCCTCACACGTTCACAAACATGTGCTGCTTTGCAGATGTGTATCACAAAACACACACACACACACACTAGAGAGAAAGAGAGAGGCACAGATACTTCCACACAGAGCTGTGTACAGGCACAGTCACATAGACCTGCATGTACACACGTGTACACACACACACACACACACACACACACAGAGAGAGAGAGAGAGAGAGAGAGAGAGAGAGAGAGAGAGAGAGAGAAAGAGAGAGAGAGAGGCAGGCACATATACTTCCACACAGAGCTTTGTACAGTCATAGTTACATAGACCTGCATGGACACAGACTCACACACATACATATGCACACATAATCATTTGCCTACCAAACTCATAGACACGCATACACATAGCCAAATACATGTACAGACATGAACACATTTTTATTTTATTTTTTAGTTTTTAAAGACAGGATTTCTCTTCATAACTGCTGTGGATGTCCTGGATCTCACTTTGTAGACCAGGCTGGCCTTGAACTCACGGAGATCCGCCTGCCTCTGCCTTCCGAGAGCTAAAGGCGTGTGCCACCACTGCCTGGTCACATTGTTTTTTGAGATGAGCTCCCATGTATTCCAGGCTCACCTGACACTTGATATGTAGCTAAAAACGGCCTTGAATTTCTGATCTTTCTGCTTCCATCTCCTAAGTGCTGGGTGAGTATATGCAGCACCGGGAATTTAACCCAAGGCTCCATGCATGCTAGGCAAACACTCAATCAGCTGAGCTATGTCCCAAGATCAGCACATTCTTCTCCACACAGAAACATTCCCCAGGAACTGCATACACACCCCACAAACACATGTTTAGAGACACACAAAGACACTGAGTGGAGAAGAAACACCATAAAGGAGTCACAGAGAGAATGCATCAAAGCAACAGGAGTCAAAAGTGCATAAACTGAGCCCTGCCAGAGACTGGAGAGATGGCTCAGGGGTTAAGAGCACTGGCTGCTCCTCCATAGGACCCGAGTTCAATTCCCAGCTCACAACTGTCTGTAACTCCAAGATCTGACACCCTCACACAGACATACAGGCAGGCAAAACACCAATGCATATAAATTAAATACAAATTTAAAAAAGACTGGCCGGGCAGTGGTGGCACATGCCTCTAATCCCAACACTCGGGAGGCAGAGGCAGGTGGATCTCTGTGAGTTCGAGGCCAGCCTGGTCTACAGAGCAAGATCCAGGACAGGCACCAAAGCTACACAGAGAAATCCTGTCTCGGGGCAGGGGGGAGGGGGGCGGAATTTAAGAAAGACTAGGAGGCAGACCAAAGGTGGACCTTACTCAGGAAGACCCCAATTTGTGCAAATGTTTGTGCATGCACACACCTTTGTGTGCTTAGGGTGGTACGCCAGCCAGGCCACCCTGAATGAGACCTGTTCCCATCCTGCATCAGGGTACCTGGAATGGGCTGTGTGTTCTGCAAGAAGTTAGAGCCTGCATCCAAGGAGGATGTTGGCATCGAAGGTGACTTCAGGAACCAAGGGGCTGAAGAACGCTATTACCCTGACCCCACTCAAGGCCACGGCCGGTTGCAGAACTTCTCTCCTCAGCCCACCAGCCCAGCTTTCCTTAATGTTGGCAACATGAGGAGCATCTCAGGTGGGTCTCTAGGGCTGGAGACAGCTGCAGCCTGGGCTCTGGGAAAAACTAAGGGAAGCTGAGATTCCGACTTGTCCTTAGAAACCTCTAGAATGAATAGGAGATGCAGCCCTATTTTCTAGTTCATAGCAGCTAAGTCAGGAGTCCAGTTTGGGTCTTTTTCTGTTCCCAGTGTTAATTGCAAGTAGCAAAGAGAACCCTTCCATTTGGAAGACTGAGGCAGGATCACCATGAGTTTCAGGGGTTCTGTTTCAAAAGCAACACACACACACACACACACACACACACACACACAGGCTTCAATCTTCTTAAGTATCACTTCAGAAGGTGAGACATCTTTTTTTTTTTTTTAAGATTATTTATGTACACAGAAGAGGGCGCCAGATCTCATTACAGATGGTTGTGAGCCACCATGTGGGTGCTGGGAATTGAACTCAGGACCTCTGTAAGAGCAGTCATTGCTCTTAACCTCTGAGCCATCTCTCCAGCCCCAAGACATCTTCTTGATGGGGAAGAGGAAGAAAGAGCACCTTAGGAACTTTCCAGGGTGATGAGGTTATTTTTCCTGGACCTAATGGGGCAAGCTGTGAAGCCCAAATCAGAAATCCCACTAGTCCCTGAAACTCCTTTGGGAAGCTAGACATTATGATGATGGGGAGGTCCTGTCCAGTGCCTGGTTGGGGAACTGGATTCCATGGGCGCAGCCCCCTTGGTTCCCTGCTCTATGTCCTACTCTGCTGAGCAGCTCTGACTCTGCAGGGACTGGAGTGACCACGTTCGTCGCCCTGTATGACTATGAGGCCAGGACAAGGGATGACCTTACCTTCACCAAAGGCGAGAAGTTCCACATCCTGAACAATACGTAAGTGATTGAACTAACTAGCTGAGGGCGTGGCCTGGGCTGTAAGTGACTGAACTGCCTGGGGGGCGTGGCCTGGGCTCTAAGTGGACTGCCTAGGGGAGGGCGTGGCCTGGGCTCTAAGTGGACTGCCTAGGGGAGGGCGTGGCTTGGGCTGTAAGTGACTGGGCTGCCTGGGGGCGTGGCCTGGGCTGTAAGTGACAGGGCTGCCTAGCTGAGGGTGTAGCCTGGGCTGGGAGCAAGTCCCAGAGAGGAGTAGTAACCTCTGACCCCTGTCCAGAAAGCTCCAGCTTCGGGGGGGGGGGGGGCGGGGGGGACACATATACATGCCAATAAAAGTCCTGGATGAGGGCTGGAGTGTAACTCACGGTAGAGGACTGGCCTTGCCTATGGGCCTTGGGTTCCATCTAAAGCACTGCAAACAAATGACAATAACAAGGAAACACTGATTGCTCCTTACCATGCAGGGAGAGGGCAGGTGAAGGGCTTGGGATACAAGCAGAACACTGAACTTGGTCCCCAGGGTAGTGGTGATTAAGGAAGGCTTCCTGGAGATTTTTAAACGGAGACTAGAAAAATAAGTAGACAATGAAGGAAGATGTGAGGGAGAGGGAATACGACTTAACGGTTATTTCTAGAACGCACCAAGTGGTTGCACGTGTAAATCATAATGAAGGAGGCTCAAGGCCGGGAGGGTAACTCAGCTGGTAAGAGGTGCCTGCCACCAAGCCTGACCTCGGGAGTTTGACCCCCCACATGGTGGAAGGAGAAAATTGGCTCCTGTAAGTTGTCTTTTGGCCTCCACACACACTAAATACATGCAAAAACTAACTTAAAAAAAAAAAAAAGAGGCTGGGCGATTTTGGCACACGCCTTTAATCCCAGCACTAGGGAGGCAGAGGCAGATGAATCTTTGAGTTCGAGGGCAGCCTGGTCTCCAGAGCAAATTCCAGGACAGCCAGAAAAAAGGGAAGGAAGGAAGGACAGGAGGGAGGAAAGGAGGGAGGGTGAGCAGCAGGGCTGGAAGTGTGGCTCAGTGACAGAGTGTGGGAACACGTAAATATTTGTCAAAGGAGGAATGAAATCACGTCCCAGAACAATCCAGGAACAACATGCACCTGAGGTAAAAGGCCCTCGGCCTTTTTTTCCTGGAGCCTCTCTCACAGTCCCCAAAGCATTGTTCACCGTGCGTCATCCCTTTGACCGTGTTCCCGACTGTAGAGTGAGACTTTAGGTTTGATTCCCAGTGAAGAGGAGGAGGAGGAGGAGGGAGAGGAGGAGGAATACAGTTTAGAAGAGAAAGCAGAAGTTGGAGGTGTAGGCAGGTCAGAATCCAGAGACCTTCAAAGCTCTGTTGTAAAGCCTGAATTTTATCCGGAAGGAAATCTGTAGCCATGGGGAGTTCCCAGTAGGGAGGGAATCCGGTCAGCTCCACTGTGGCCGCTCAATGGAGGAACCAGAGGAAGAAGCCTAGGAATCCTCAAACAGTCCTTTTTGGGGTGAGAACAGCTAGGGCAGCTGCAGTGGATGGAGGACAGGCAGACTAACTGAGTGGGGAGGGGTCGGAGGTGAGGAGTGGCAGAGCCACTCTGCAGCTGAGGTGGCTCGGCCTGGACCCCTGCTGACTACCCGTGTTCTGTGTCTACAGTGAAGGTGACTGGTGGGAGGCTCGGTCGCTGAGCTCCGGACAGACTGGCTACATTCCCAGCAACTACGTGGCCCCTGTGGATTCCATCCAGGCTGAAGAGTGAGTGAGTGGGGTTGGGCCGGCCCTGTAGAGAAAACCCTAGCGTCTAGCTTCCAAGGCCATCTCTTAGGAAATGCCTGCCTCGCTCTGAGCCTGTCTCCTCCTTTACAATGTTATAAGGTTATTTATTGTAGAGCCAAAAGAAGATGACAGGCAGCTGTGGTGGCGCAGGCCTTTAATCCCAGCACTTGGGAGACAGAGGCAGGATCTCTGTGAGTTCTAGCCTAGCCTGGTCTACAAAGTGAGTTCTGGGACCAGGACAGCCAGGGCTACTAGAGAAACCCTGTCTTGAAAAACCAAAAAAAAAAAAAAAAAGCGGAAGATGTCCATGATTATGGTAACCGTAGATAACGCTGGGCAGCAGGTGCTGTGTTCTGTAACTGAAGGGTTTCTGTGTGATCAAGTTAGAAACGCTATTGTTTATTTTACAAATGAGGAAGCTGGCCAGGTGTGGAGATGCACATCTTTAATCCTAGCACGTGGGAGGGAGAAGCAGGTGGATCTCTCTGAGTTTGAGGTTAGCCTAGATTACACAGTGAGTTCCAGGCCAGCTACATAGTGAGACTTTGTCTCAATTTAAAAAAAAAAATGGGGAAGTTGAGATATAGAGAGAATGAATATCCTGCTCAAGTTTTCATAGCTGGTAAGGTGTGGAGCTGGTGTGTGAACACAGCTAGACACACACCATGTGCCACCCAGTATACACCTTGCCTATCTGCAACAGTGACATCATGTCAAAAATCAGACCTGTCTGTTTGTCTATCTGTCTGTCTATCTACCTATCTATCTATTTTAGCAGAGAGAGTGTAGATTTAAAGGAAAAGTCAAAGAACTTCTGAGAGTAGGAGGTATGCCCAGGGATGCCTACCCATGAGCTTTCAAACCTATAAGGGGCAGAAACCAGAGAGATGGCCCCATGGTCAACAGTGCTTACTATCCTTCCAGGGTCTGGAGTTTGGTCCCCAGCACCCAAGACAGGCAGCTCACAACCATCGATAACTAGAACTCTAGGGGATCTAGACACACACATACACACACACACACACACACACACACACACACACACACACACACACATTCACTCACTCACTCACGAGTGCATGCCCAGCAAATACTCACACAGACATACATACACACACATACACATAATAATAATATTATAATAGGTTTTTTAGAACCTAAAAAGTGGAACTGGGGCACTGGGGATGTATGAATCTCACTTGATAGAGTTCTTGAAGTGTTTGTCTAGCAGGCATGAGGCCTTGGATCTGATTTCCCAGCACTATACAAAAAGTCAACCATGAGGGCACTTGTCTATAATCCCAGACTTTGGGAAGTAAAGTCAGGAGAATCAGAAGTTCAAGGTCATCCTTGATGTAGTAAGTTTGAGGCCAGCCTGTAAGAAATGAGATCCTGTCACAAACAAAACAAATAACCCACAAAAACAAAGCAAAACAGGATTGGAGAGATGGCTCAGCAGTTAAGAGCACTGGACCCAGATTCAATTTCCAGCATCCACACGGTGACTTACAACTGTAACTCCAGTTCCAGGAGACCTGACACCCTCTTTTGGCTTCTGCAGGCACCAGGCATATATGTGGTGCATGGACATCCATGCAGGCAAAATACTCATACACATAAAGTTAAAATAAGTCTAAAAAAAAAAAAGCTGGTAGAACTGGAGGTATAGTTCAGAGGCAGAGTACATGTTTAGTATGAAAAAGGCTTGCAAGGGAACAATACTTACAGTTAATTTTATTAAGTAGACAGAGGGGGGCTGGAGTGTAGCTTAACATGTATAAGGCCCCAGATTCCATCTTCAGTCTTCTCCCCTTTTCCCCCTCAAAAAAAGCTGTGCTTGGGATGTGTCCCATACACTTGTGAAAAAAAATGACAGAAGAGACTTTAAAGAACTAGGCTGTGCATGGTGGCACATGCCTGTAATCCCAGCATTTGTAGTGAATTTGAGGATAGCCTGGGCTACTTGAGACTCTATCTCCAAAAAACCCAATCCAAAACCAGGATGGGAGTCCTCAGAACTTGGAGATCGGTTTGTAGTTGGACTGTGGGGAGTGAGAGGAATTTGGGGATGATCCAGTATCTTTTGAAGAAGCAAGTGAAGTGTGGTGCCAACTGCTAAAATGGGGGGCACAGGTGCAGGTAGAGATACAGGTGGGTTCCATAGGGGTGGAAGAAGCTGCCAGAAGCTAGACCAGGCTGTGCTGTGCATGAGATGGTGTCTGACCATGCCACTACAGTATTCCAGAGGAAGGGGCACCTGCTCCGAATTGTCACCGAGACCGTCACTTGTCTGTAGCCCTGGCAGATGGCCGACCTGTGCTGGTGGAACTGGGACTCACCTGAGTAGACAATTAAGCTGCTCAGTAGGATGAGGGGGAGGGAGGGAGGGAGAGAGAGAGAGAGAGAGAGAGAGGGGTCCTAGGATCCGGCTCTGGGGGTGACCCCTTGGAGAAGAAAGAGCCCCTGGAGAAGTGAGGAAATCAGGCCAGGCCAATGCAGAACATCCAGGACTGGAGGGAAAATTCCTGAAAACAGGAGAGGGCTGGCTGAGGCCACCCTCGTCCTTGGCAATGGGATGCCCTTCATAAGGAATCTTGTCTCATGGGGAGGAAAAGCGGCCCTGACAGCAGGGTCCAGGAAGCAGGAAGAGAGTAGAAGAGGAGGGAGAACTGACCCAAGAGGGGACAGTGTGGGCCTAAGTGAAGGCCAGGGGAGACGTCAGGGCCCAACGTGCAGAAGATGATGCTTTAGCAGGTAAAAGCCCTTGCTGACAACCCGAGTTCGATCTCCAGAACCCACATGGTGAAAGGAAAGAGCCAGAGTGCGCAGATTTTCCTCTGACGTTCATTCCTTTGTTATAGCATTCATGCATGCATGTGCACATGCATATGCACACACAAAATAAATACATAAAGCACAATACATTTTTTGTTAAAAAAAAAAAAAAAGTAGGGGGCTATAGCGATGGTTCAGCAGTTAAGAGCACCTGCTACTCTTCCAGAAGACCAGGGTTCTATTCCTAGCACCCACATGATGACTCACAACCCTCATTAACTCCAGTTCTAGGGATGCTGATGCCCCCTTCTGGCCTCTATGGACACTTGCGCTCACATGCCTGTGCACACACAGTAATTCAACATAAATAAATCTTTAAAACACAACAACATGGACTCAGAGCTTCCCCCTAGGAAGGAAGAAAGTATGTGTGTTTAGAGTTTGACAGTTTCAGGGGGTTGTTCATGGGGTGACGTGGGGCTTCTTGAGCAGAGGGACATGGGCAAGTCCAGAGCGTAAGTGGGATGAGGCCATTGTGGAGAGGGTGTCAGGAAGCATGAAGGAAGGAGGGGTAATGAGGCCAAGGTCCAGGGGTTAGGGTACATGCTGTGTCCATAGCTTGAGCAGCATGCTAAAGTCTAACGTGCTCGAAGCATGTCGTGATTAAGAGCACAGGCCTCAAGTGGACAACTTGAGTTCCTGTTTTGGAGTCACAGTATGGCCTCGGGCAGGTTGCTCAACCACTAAGTAGTTAGTTGTAGTTAGTTTAGTTTTCTCATCTGTCTTAGGAGTTTCCACATGGCACCTCCCTCTGAACATTATTAGCAGGCACATTTGTGTGCAGGGTCCATGTCTACCACAAAAAGAGTGCCTAGCCTATTAAAGTTTGGTTTTTGTTTTGTTTTTCGAGACAGGGTTTCTCTGTGTAGCTTTGGAGCCTGTCCTGGATCTCATTCTGTAGCCCAGGCTGGCCTCGAACTCACAGAGATCCGCCTGGCTCTGCCTCCTGAGTGCTGGGGTTAAAGGCGTGCGCCACCACCGTCTGGCTATGAGGTTTGGTTTTTAGTTTGAAGCAGATCTTGTTGCGTAGCTCGGGCTGCGTCACACTCAGGATGTCTTCCTCCTCGGTGCTGACTTACTTTGTGTACCCTTAAGGAAGTTACTAATGCCGTGGCTGTGGGTGGAGGGGGCTTTGGAAAACTCCAGCAGTGAGTGTGCTCCCGAGGCCTTCAATCACTTCTCCTTGCTGTCTGCCCTCCTAGGCACACCATTTGCCAAGGGCTCTTCCTGTCTCCCAGGTTTGCCTAGTACGCAGGTAGAGACTGACCATGCCAGCGTTCCCAGATGTTCCCATTTCCCTTGGTTTGAAACTTTCTATTGAACCCATGTGGCCCAGTCACTTTAGCAATCAGGTGAGATCACAACGGAGTCACCACGGAGTCTTTTACAGCATGTGTGGTCACTTCAGCCCCCCACTCCACCCCCATGTACGTGCACAGCTGGGTCGGGGCTACAGTTCAGTCACAGAAAACATGAATGGGGAGGGAAGAATGCGGGGCTAGGGTGGAGCAGGGGTCTGGATGATCATCTGTGTGATGGGAAAGAGGTAGGGTGGGTGAGGACTTCAGGTGGTCCACATCAGCTAGCCTTGGGGGGGGGGGGGGAGTCAGTTCCCTTCTGAGCCTTGAGTTCCTCCTTTGTAAAGTGCCTTGGGAAGAGTTCTAGGGAGATGAGTTAAGGGCCCTCTGGCAATGACCATAAGGTCATTGAGGATTGGGTTCCACCAATTTGATTGTTTGTTTGAGACAGGGTCTCACTATGTAGCCTCGGCTGGTTTAAAATATCTGCCTGCCTGTGCCCTCCCGAGTGCTGGGATTACACACTTTTTTTTTTTAAGGTAGGGTCTCACTATGTAGCCCTGGCTGGCCTAGAACTTGCTGTATTTTAATTTTAATGCAAGAGATACCAGTGGGTAGAGAGGAGAATCCTGGTCTTTTTAGGCATCTACTTACTATATGTACCAGACACTTTTCCATTTCTCTTCTCTGTGATCCTGATACCATAATGCAAATTATAACAGCCCATTTCTCAGGTAAGGAAACTGAGGCTTGTGACTTCCCAGGAAGATGAACAGGGGTTTGAAGAGAATGTGCTTGAAGTTCTGTCTGCCTTTCCTAACAGGTGGTACTTTGGAAAGATCAGTAGGAAGGATGCAGAAAGGCAGCTTCTCTCAGCTGGTAACCCTCAGGGGGCCTTTCTCATTCGGGAGAGTGAAACAACCAAAGGTATGTTGGTACTCCACGCCATCAGCCATCAATGTCAGTGGGGCAGTACTTGGGTCAGGGCTAAGGGGCAGAGCTGAAGTGGGCTCTGGGAATTGCCCTTGGGACCTCTTCCTGCTCTTAGTCCGAGGACTAAGTGACCCTTCCCACACAGGTGCCTACTCCCTGTCCATCCGTGACTGGGACCAGAACAGAGGCGATCACGTAAAGCATTATAAGATCCGAAAGCTGGACACAGGTGGCTACTACATCACCACACGGGCCCAGTTCGAATCCGTGCAGGACCTGGTGCGGCACTACACGGGTGAGCTCCTCAACGTGACCAAGTGTTGTCACGATGGAGAGACTGCCGCCTAGAGAAGGAAATGTTCTCCCAAAGCAGCACTGGCTGGGCCCAGTGTGCACGTATCCAGACCAGGATCGTGCTCTGTGTGGATTCTGGGGAAACTGAGGCCCCAAGTGGCGGTGACGAAGAGGCAGTGCCCCCTAATGTTCCAATAGGGCCAGTTCCTTTCTTCCAGACCTAAGCCAGTGGGAATTTAAAAAAAAAAAAAAAAAAAAACCAACAACTTACGTTTTATTTATTTGGGGAGAGGGGTTCGTGAATGCATGCATGCCAGAGAGTGGGTGTGGAGGGCACAGGACGACTTGTGGAACTTGGTTCTCTTCTTCAACCAAGTGGGTCCTGGGGATGAAACGCAGGTCATCAGGTTTGGCTGCAGACGCTTGTCTGATGAGCCATCTTGTTGACTCCAGTCTACGGAAACTTGGTGGGGACTTTGTCGTTCTCTCTCTCTCTCTCTCTTTTTCTCCCCTGTGTGAAGTCAGAGGACAACTTGAGGAAGTCAGTCCTTTCCTTCCACCATAAATATGGTCTCAGAGATCAAGCTTAGCTGACAGACACCTTGCTGCTCGCTGGCAGACACCTTTACCTGCTGAGCTCCCTCGCTGGCCCTGTTGTATTTACTAGGCAGTCACCGTCATAGGCTCTAAGCCAGTGGTTTTCAACCTTCCTAATGCTGGGACCCTTTAATACAGGTCCTCATGTTATGGTGACCCCCAACCATAAAATTATTTCCGCGGCTACTTTATAACTGTCATTTTGCTACTGTTGTGAATCGTAATGTAAATGTCTGATACACAACTCCTGTGAAAGGGTCATTCAACCCCTCCCCCAAAGGGGTTGCGACCCACAGGTTGAGAACTGCTGCTCTAAGCAGCGGGCTGTTGAAGCTGGTCTGAACTTTGAGGGGAACCTCTGGTTGTTGGGTGCTACTTGGATGCCAGGGACAAGGCAGAAGGAGAGGTCCCCTGGTCTGCCATGGCCATTGCCCAGGCAGCGACAATGGCCACATGAAATGAGTGACAGCACAGATAAGCAGAAGCCAATGATTCTGAACTGACCAGGAGGCAGCGTGGACCTGACCAGAGGGAGGCCTGGTTGTGGGATTCAGCAATGGTGCTCAACCCAGGTCTAAAACCCACGTTTGGAGCCCAGGCAACATCATTGCTTGTTTCCATGACTGGTTTGTCCCAGGGAAAGGTCCATGGCAGGAATGGGCTGCATGTCCACAGTTTTGCCTCAGAACCTTACCTCCATCTTCACCTGCCAGACCAGTTCTTATCCTTGAAGGCCTTGCCAGAGGCCACCTACTAGGAATAGCCATGCAGTTCCCACAGGGATCATCTCTCCTTCTGTATGCCATCCTCTTCCTTAGGCACCAACAAGATTGCCTACTCAGAGGCCTGAATTACCTTCTCTCCCGATGTGACCTAAACTATGAAACTTTACTTTAAAAACATTTTTTTTTTGTTTTTGTTTTTTAAATCCTGCCTTGTGAAGGATTTAAAACTGTAAACCAACTACTTTTGTTTCTTGGATTTTTTTTTTTTTTTTTAACACTGTAGCCTAGGCTGACACCAAACTCATTACAATCCTCCTTCCTCAACCTACTAAGTGCTGGAATTACAGGCATGAACCACCACGTTCCACTAGGGCCTGGTTATTTATAGCTACGCTTGAGGTCTGATGCTGGGTTGTGTTAGGATTTCGGGGTGAGTATCATAGCCTCCATCTGTGACCCCTTCCATCTGCCCTTCTTCCAGAAGTGAATGATGGTCTGTGCTACTTGCTTACCGCACCCTGTACCACCATGAAGCCCCAGACGCTGGGTCTGGCCAAGGACGCCTGGGAGATCGACCGTAGCTCCATAACGTTTGAACGAAGGCTGGGCACCGGCTGCTTTGGAGATGTGTGGCTGGGTAGGAAGGTCTCAGGAGCCCGGGGCTGGGGGCTGGGACAAGGGGCAGGGCTGGCAGAGAGCCAGGCTTGACAGAATGCGGCCGCTGAGCAGGCACGTGGAACTGCAACACAAAGGTGGCCGTGAAGACCCTGAAGCCGGGCACCATGTCTCCTAAGGCCTTCCTGGAGGAGGCACAGATCATGAAGCTGCTGAGGCATGACAAGCTGGTGCAGCTGTACGCGGTGGTGTCGGAGGAACCCATTTATATTGTGACAGAGTTTATGGGCCACGGTGAGTAGCTGAGTAGGAGGCGCGGGTGGGTGGGGCACGGGCCACCACCTGTGAAGGTACTAGAAACAGTAGGTATTATTTCCAGGGAGAGACTGGGATACACAAATCCTCCTGAGGGCTAATGTGGGGATGGGGCCAGGTCAGGAGGCGGGGCCTGTGACAGGGGACCGAGAGTCTTCTCTTGCTTGAAGGTTAGCCCACTAACGGATCCATGTGAGCAAACCAGAGCTGGATCTGGGATAAGGGAGGACCGGGGGAGGAGTCTAAATGGGGCGTGTCCAGGGGTTCGGAGGTGGAGACAGAACCAGAGGGTGGAGCTAGGTGAGAAAAGCAGGAAGGGTGGCCGAGCGAGGCTAGATTAGCAGGACACGGGCAAGACCAAAGTAGAGAAGGCATGCTGGGAGTAAGGACCTGCTGCTGACTTCCGGCTGCTTCTCCCTAGGTAGCTTGCTGGATTTTCTAAAGGATCGAGAAGGCCAGAACTTGAGGCTGCCCCATCTAGTGGACATGGCCGCCCAGGTAAACTAGGCTTCATCTCCCAGACCTCTTAGCCAATTATCCTCTCAGAAACCCCATGTGCCTTCACACACCTAAAACTACGGCACCTCAAGGCACCTCGCCGCCTTATGAGGCCTGAGGCAGGAAGATGCTGTTGAGTCTCCCCATGTGCCCTGGGCTGGGGCGGGTTGGGGGAAGGGTTCGGTCAGGCGACTCCCACACACCCCTCAGGTCCAATCACGGTGAGTCCCTGTTGCTCCTGCCTCTCACTTCCTCCCCTCCCCCTCCTAGGTAGCTGAGGGCATGGCCTACATGGAGCGCATGAACTACATCCACCGAGACCTGAGAGCCGCCAACATCCTGGTCGGGGAGCAGTTAGTTTGCAAGATCGCAGACTTCGGGCTGGCTCGCCTCATAGAGGATAATGAATACAACCCCCGCCAAGGTGACCAGCCTCACCCCACCTCCCTAGAGATCAAATGCTCCAAGGAGTTGCCATGTACCCCACTTAGTCAGAAACCCTTCCCCACCCCTGATGATCCCAGACACCCCCATCCTGATGTAAATCAGACATAGTTCTGAGTTCCTATCCCAGTTCAAGCATTTGCTACCACGCGTCTTGAGTTCCCTAACTTCTGTGGTTTGCCATTTCTGATCAAATGAAAATACTTAGACAACAGTAAATCAGTAAGTATTTACCAGCTACTGACTAAGTCCCAGGCCCTTCTATAAGTCTTAAACAGAAGACAATAGAGTATAATAGTGCCATATCTGTAGCCAGAGCGCCTCGTGTGGCTCCCAGGCACATGTTGGTTGTGTGAGCTGGGCAAGGAACTTATTCGGCCTCTTCTTTTCCTCACTGGTAAGACGAGGTCTATGGCAGAGGGCTTAATGTGTTAACAAGGCAGGCAGATTGCCTAAAACCTTACCGGGGCCTGGAGGGTGGGGTGGGATGGATACAACTTGGTGCTTATGGGGAAGTGAGGCTGAGTTTGCTCCCAGTACCATAAAACCCAAACAAAGACAAACAAAACTGGGCCCAGAACTTAGTAAAGGCTAGAGACATTCTAATGTCTTGTCATGAGAAGTGTACCCCCACGTGGAAGTGTCCAGCACTGTACTAGACACACAGTAGGTGCTGACTACGTGGACAGCGGGTCTTCTCTGCTGTGCACAGAGACTTCTATGCTCAGGGCCCCCAAGATGCCTAATCCTAAAGTCCTCACTCTCTTAATCTAGCAGTTTCCATGGACACCCCCTCCCCCCACCTCATAACCTTGCCTTCTTCCCCCGTCTCTCCAGGGACCAAGTTCCCCATCAAGTGGACAGCCCCAGAGGCTGCCCTCTTTGGCAGATTCACTGTCAAGTCGGATGTGTGGTCCTTTGGGATTCTGCTCACTGAACTGATCACCAAGGGCCGAGTTCCTTACCCAGGTGAGCTGGGGGCTGAGGGTCTGGTCATGGGGAAGGGCCATCTCCACCCCTGCTCTTGCGCTGGCTGACAGAGCCCCACCTCTTAGGCATGAACAACCGGGAAGTATTGGAGCAAGTAGAGCATGGCTACCACATGCCATGCCCTCCAGGCTGCCCAGCATCCCTGTATGAAGCCATGGAGCAGACCTGGCGTCTGGATCCGGAGGAGAGGCCCACCTTTGAGTACCTGCAGTCTTTCCTGGAAGACTATTTTATCTCCACAGAACCACAGTACCAGCCTGGAGACCAGACATAGCCTGGCTGGACATCAGTGACCCTCTGGGAGTATCTTCTTGCCCTTGCCAATCCCCAGGGTTCTCTAAGTCCCAGTGCCTCCAGACTTGGGATCCTGTGGAATCCGAGAAGGCCAGATGCTCTGAAGCCATTTTACAGATGGGGCAAATGGAGGCTAGGCGCTCATCTCTTACCTTCTCTGACCCCAAGCAATCTGTCTTCCCTTCCTACCTATGCCCTACCCCAAAAATCTAGGGCACCCCACTCATTTTACAGATGGAGTGAATGGATGCTCAGAACTTATCTCTCACACACTCTGACCCCAGGCACCATTTTTCCTGTCCCACCAGGCTCCTCCATGCTGTTAGCCTCTTTCTTCCATCTCCTAAAAATATTCACACTTTGTCTAGTTATTTATAAAATTGTATTTCCCCTCCTTCACTTATCTCTTATTCCTGCTTTCCTACCTCCTGTCAGCCTGCTCCAGTCCAGGCCCTAAGAATTTAATTACTGCTCTTGGTTCTCTTGGATTTCTCCAGGTTCCAAGGGCAGGGGACATCTTTGCTTGACTGTCTTCCTGCAGACTGGATGCTCTGGTCCAGGCCCAGGTCTGAGAGAGAGAGCTGGTGAAGGCTCACCACCTCTCTGTGTAATGTGTTTATTCATTATGTAAGTCAGAACAATGATGATGTGAACTTTGAGCCATGAAAATTCCCTGAGCCATCTTTGGGGAGGGATGGTACTCCACAGGAGGGAAACAGGATAGATTTGGCTATTGAGGGGCAGGTGGTAAGGAGTTCCCTCTTGCCTACTAAATGTAAGGTACCCAGTGCATGGAGTTTCAGAACACCCCAAAGTCCCACTGATCATCCACAGGTCAGTTTACCATGAGTTGAGAAAAACAGAAAACAGGCAATTGGAAGTAGATGAATGTGGCTTTGAATCTGTGTACAGCTAATTCCTTACCTGATGTCAGCCAATTTCCCGCCCATCACAGGCACACTGGGACATTGTCTTAGTTAGGTTTTGGGGTTTTTTTGTTTTTGTTTTTGTTTTTTCGAGACAGGGTTTCTCTGTGTAGTTTTGGTTCCTGTCATGGGTCTCGCTCTGTAGACCAGGCTGGCCTCGACGAACTCACAGAGATCCACCTGGCTCTGCCTCCTGAGTGCTGGGATTAAAGGCATGTGCCACCACTGCCCGCCCAGCTTAGTTAAAGTTTTTATTGCTGTGAAGAGACATCATGACCACAACTCTTACAAATAAAAACATTTAATTGGGGTGGCTTGCTTACAGTTTCAGAGGTTTAGTCTGTTATCACAATGGTGGCATATAGGCAAATGTGGTACTGGAGAAGTAGCTGAGAGTCCTATATCTTGCAGGCAACAGGAAGTCGACTGAGACACTGGGCAGTATCCTGAGCACAGGAAACCTCAAAGCCTGCCCCCACAGTAACAAATTTCCTCCAACAAAGCCACACCTTCTAATAGTGCCATTCTCTGTGAGATTATAGGGACCAGCTACTTTCAGACCACCAGGTTTCCCACAGGAGAGGCATGGAGAAGAATACAACAGACCCTCTGTAGCTATCAGGTTCTCCAAAAACAGGACGTGGGAGGAGGGAAGAGACCTAGCTCATGGGACCTCACTGGAGGGGTTCTTCCCCACCCCAGGGAGCTTTTGGAGACCTTTGAAAGTATCTTTATTTATTATAGTGACTGGGAGGACCTATTAGCTGGGGTCAGGGATAGGAAACAACCTTTTTTTTTTTTTGAGACAAGGTTTCAGATAGAGTAAATGGATTCAAATGGAGTAAAAACAGGGTTCACTGTGTAGCCCTGGCTGTCCTGGAGCTTGCTCTGTAGACCAGGCTGGCCTTGAACTCAGAGATCTGCCTGCCTCTGCCTCCCGAGTACAATAGTAAAGAATGGCCCCACCTCTTAAGTCCCCCCTGGAGAACCTGGCAGCTGAATGCCTCTATGTGGAAACCAGGAGAGCAGGAACTATGGATTCCCACCTCTCTCGTCAGGCAATCAGACTGGCCCTCTGACTTACTAATGGGGTAGAGGAGGAAAGAGTCCAGGAGTTGGAGCCATTGCTGTACTAGGCAATTACTAAGAGTTGACTCTGATGGACCCTTCGCTGAGCAGGACCCTGGGCACATAAAAGCACCTTAGTCTCAGCATCTGGGAGGCAGAAGCAAGCAGATGTCCATGTTTGAGGCCAGCCTAGTCTACATAGAGAGAGTTCCAGGACAGTCAGGGATACATAGTGAGACCCTGCCTCAAACAAACAAACATGCCTGCTGAACATCAGATGTGTTTTGCCTCGATTCCCCCAATGTAATCTAACGCTGAGACTGTTTTCTATGATTAGTTCCACTGGATAAGAAAACCGAGGCCCAGCGGTTACATGATATGCCTGGATCACTTGTTGTATGTGGCAGAGCTGATCTTATACAAAGCCCTTGGTCTCTTCACCAGACTGTGTTACCACTGGGCTTTCAAAAGGGTGTGTATCCTGTGTGTGTGTGTGTGTGTGTGTGTGTGTGTGTGTGTTCTCTAGCTATTGGCAGAAAGATTCCCTAGAAACTCCCGCCAAGCTGGGGGTCTAAAGGAAAGGGGGCAAGATGGCATTAACTGAGACTTCCCTGTGACCACGTCTGTGTTGAGGGTTGTTGAATGGAATCAAACGATGGAGAGAATCCAGGTGGCTGCTGAGAGGCGTTGTCACAGGATGGTAGCCTTAGCTCTGCAGACAAACTCTCAGGTACCAAGGCTTCTTGAGGCCACAGTCTCCTAATCAACCGAATTCACAGGAGCCCGACATACAAGCCAGAAGGTAGCATTTCTTTTTTCCGGCCATGGAGTAAACAGTTAAGAGCACAGGTCTGGAGCTGTACTTCCTGCTGTGACCTCTGCCTCTACCACTTACTGGCTATGGGATGCTATGTAAGTTTTTAATTCCCGTAAGCCGTAAAATGTTGAATACAAGTCAGCTGCCGGTCACTGTCATTTACAGAATGTTAACTCCATGCCAGGTGTCCTGCTAAGGGCATGCTGACATTTCAACCCCGCATAACCTAGGACAACAGGAGGCTGTTCTAATAACCTGAGGCACTGTGAGGTAAACTATACCCCCCACCCACTTTGGAGATAGACTTTCTCTACGTTGCCAGTTTTCTCATAAGCATATACCATCATGCCCTGCCTAAGTCAAATTTTTGAAGGTGTCCAGCACATAAGCCGTGGATCAGGGGCTGAGACCAAGTCTCTGGCCCCAGATTTAGCGCTCAGCCTCCACAACCCTTTCCTGGAACCAGGATATTCTTGTCTGCCTCCTGGGGCCCTGCCTGCTGCCTGTGTGGTTTCAGTAAAGGCCCAGCAGTGCGGTGAACCATCTGGAGTTCGCCAGGCCCCTTGCTGCTCTTCAGCAGACCAGAGCTTCCCTGTGTCCCCAGGTTCGCCATCATTCCCTCCAGAGCAGCTGGATGAACCTCCTCGGCACCCCCCATTTTAGTACCGCCTTCTGTTCCCTCCAGATAGAGCACAATGCAATTGATTAGCCCACTGCTCTCGCCATTTCAATCACATCCTCTCGCCCTGCCTCCCCGAGATTACAGGGGGGTCACCTTGATTGCAGCTTGCACCGTTCACAAAACTCTTCAGTCGTTTACAAAACCATCTCTCGCCTCATTCACTCCCCCACCTGGCTCTTCTCCTCCGTGATGTGTGGATTTTACTGGCTTAAGACTTAAGGAGGGCAATTTTATTTCCAAGTTCGTGCTGGGGGAGGGCACCTAATTGACTGATGCGGGGTGTTTCATTTGCATGGTCTAATTTGATCCTTGCCACGAGGCTCTGCAGCAATGTGAGATTATAAGCATTTACCCCCCCCAAAAAAAAAGGCTCTGACCCTCACCCAAGGTCATACAGGAAGACGAGGGAGTCCGGTTTGAACTTGTGCATCCCACTCTCACATCCCTTTGATAGAAAATCTAATCCTGACCCAGGGAGGCTATGGGTGTAGATATGGACCCAGAGTGTCGCCATACACACTGCTGATTGCCTTCTGTGGGGACTGGAGAAATGGCTCAGTGGTTAAGAGTGCTTGCTGCTCTTGCAGAGGACCTGAGTTCAATACCCAGCACCCATATCTGGAGACCCACAGCTGCCTGGAGCTCCAGTTTCAGGGGATTCAATGTCCTCTGGCACCTGCACTCACATGTGAACATTAACGCATGCAGGTGTACATATATACACATAAGTAAAAATAATAAAAAACAAACAAAAGCCCCAACCTAGCCATTTGTTAATTTTCTATACACCCGTTTTTGTGCTGTTTTGTTTGTAGTTTTTGATGGGTTTAGTTCTCTTTGTTGTTGCTGGTTTTGAGATGAACATGGTCTATGTAGTCCAGGCTGGCCTTTAACTCAAAATCCCCCTGTTGCTGCTTCTCAAGAGCTGGGATTACAGGCATCTGCCACCCTGTTGGGCTATTTTGCATTCATTTAGTGTTCTCTCCATTAGGCTGGTCTTGTCCAGGAGGCAAGACAGCAAACAATTTCAACACGTAGCAGCAAGGCCAGTGTAGATGCCCGGGGAGATTTCTCGGAGTATGTGAAATAAATCGGCCAGATGAAATAACAGAGCGAGGTGATCCTATGCAAAGGCCCAGAGGCACGGCAGAGGGAGGCTCATTCGGGCAAACACAAACAACTACGTAGGAGATGGTTGAGGGTGTAGATGAAGCCAGCAGAGTACGGATGGCGGGTCAGAACAGGAGAAGCAGGAAATCAAGAAATCATCTGGGAGTCCAGGGCACATTAGAGGAGACTTTCCTGAGTCCCACTGCCCCCAAACTGAGCTGGATGACTCCCCTGTCCACTCCTGTGGGTGCTTCCCGGTACAGTTAGGAAGCCTCCCTCCCTCTGTCCCACCCACCCCACGCACATGGCCAGGATGGCCCCGCGGTGATGCTTGCCCCCCACCTAGTGGAAACTCTGAGAACTACATCAAAAAATGAAGGAAACTTTTTTTTTTTTTTTTTTTGGTTTTTCGAGACAGGGTTTCTCTGTGTAGCTTTGCGCCTCTCCTGGAACTCACTTGGTAGCCCAGGCTGGCCTCGAACTCACAGAGATCCGCCTGGCTCTGCCTCCCGAGTGCTGGGATTAAAGGCGTGCGCCACCACCGCCCGGCATGAAGGAAACTTTTTTAAAAAAAAATCTGAGTGGGATGCTGGGGTGTCAGGTTCCAATTCCCGTTCTCAAGGTACACAAAATTTAATGGTAACAGGGTTCAGAGGAAAGACAGAGAAAATGATAGTCTAAGGTGTGTTGGCAAACAGGGGAGGATCCAAACTCAATTGGGCAGGAATTTTTCTTTTTCTTTTTTCCAAGACAGGCTTTCACTATGTAGGTCTGTCCCAGAACTCGCTCTGTAGACCAGGCTGGCCTCAAACCCACAGACACCCACCTGCCTCTGCCTCTGGAGTGCTGGGATTAAAGATGTGCGCCGCTACCATAGGCTTGGAGACGAGAAAACAAACCCAGCCAGCCAGGTGGAGCGCTATCAGGCCAGCACTCTGAGACAGGCAAGCTGCTCTCGGTGAGTTCTAGGCCAACCTGGAACTACATAAGCTATAAAGGGAGACTGTCTAAAAACACCAACAAAACAAACACCAAAGACGAAGAACTGGAGCTGGAGAGGTGGCGCAGCAGTTCAGAGCACTGGCTGCTCTTGCAGAGGTCCGGGTTTGGATTCCTCGCACCCACAAGGCGGCTCACAAGCATGTGTTACTCCACTTCCAGGGGACCCAGTGGCCTCTTCTAACTTCCAGGGCACCAGGCATGTACTTGGTGCACATACAGCGGGCAAGCACTCACACACATAAAATTTTTTGAAATGCAAGTAAAAAGGGCGGGGTGGGGGGGGATGACTAGGCATGGTGATGCATTCTAGCCCTTGAGGACTATGAATTTGAGGTGAGCGTAAGCTACATAAGGAGAGACCTTGTTTCATTAAGAAAGAGACAGAGAGCCGGGCGGTGGTGGCGCACGCCTTTAATCCCAGCACTCGGGAGGCAGAGCCAGGCGGATCTCTGTGAGTTCGAGGCCAGCCTGGTCTCCAAAGCGAGTTCCAGGAAAGGCGCAAAGCTACAGAGAAACCCTGTCTCGAAAAACCAAAAAAAAAAAAAAAAAAAAAAAAAAAAAAAAAAAAAAAAAAAGAAAGAGACAGAGAAGAAAAGGAGTGGGGAGAGGCAGTCCGCTGCAGCACGCCTAT